GTTCCCAGGCTAGGGATGGTCAATATGTAAACACATTTCAACTGTCCAAGACCAGCAAACAAATGAAGCATTCATTCATTTGGAAGGATGAGAGAAAGAAGCCTATAATTTAAACTTTTGTGTCTGTATATTTATTTAATATCTTTACACGGTAGTGGGCAATCAATAGTTTTGATCCTTTGTTATTGTTGAGCTGAGTTATGTCTGTGACACTTCTGCCAAGACAAACTGAGAAGCTGAACAAATGGTGTGAAGCTTGTCAACTTAATTACCCATTTTTACTACCACTGCTAGGGGAGGAGAGCCATTGTTGAGGGACAAGGGATTAGAGTGATGATACAGACACTCTAGCAATCCCACTAACCATTGACCAAGCTCTAGTATCAGAACCAAGTGGTGATCCAGATGGACCAGTTAACCCAGATGATGAACTAGATTGCCCAGCAGGTGGAGCAGAATCTACCACAACTGCTGGTCCCCAAATCAGTCTTGGCCCAAGACCCAGCAACCATTGGTGGAGCAGCTAAATGACCACACCCAAAGAGGGCTCATTAATGGCTTTGCCAGCTTGGAGGGAAGCATCAAAGGGAGTGCTCTGTCTTAGGCCATGGTGCTGCTCAATATTTTAATCAACTACTTGGTTGAGGGAGTTGAGGGGACTCCTAACATGTTTGCAGATGACAGAAACATGGAAGGGTGGCTAATACTTCTGAGGAAAGAGAAAAGATTCAGAAAGATCTAAACAGGCTTGAACAATGGGCTCAAATGAATAGGATGGAATTTAGCAGGGACAGATGTAAAATTTTGCAACTGAGTAAGAAAAATGAAAGGCCTGGCTTGGCACAAGTGCATGTGAAAAAGTTCTGAGTGTCCTTCCCAACCACAAGTTGAGTGATATGTGCATGATGAGCAGTGTGACACCACTGCTAAAATGACAGGAGCACAGAGTTCGCCTTACAGAAAAGAACTGTTGTACTCTTTTTCACAACTGATCCTACTTGAAGTACTATGTCCAGTTCTGGGTATCTTAATTCAAAAAAGACAGTGGCAAATTGGAGCAAGATACTAAGATGCTGAAGGACCTGCAAATAAAGAACTTAAGGAACAGTTAAAGATATGAATATGTTTAGCCTACACAAATGATGAATGAGTAGGGATATGGTAATAGGGTCATCTTCCTTTTGGGTAAAAATAGTAAATTCTTCCACTATATGTTTTACCTGGCCACTGCTCACCATGACTAAATAATATAGAAAAAGGCAATTATAATAAAGAGAAGCCCTAGAAATGGTATGATTAGAAACCAATGAAAACTTACTATTTACATAGTTTTTCTGTAACACACACATCTTTGTAACTTTCTGCATTGCTGCCAAGTATTAATTGAAACAGTTATCTGCAAAGAATATATAGTTGTGAAAATATTAGTATCACATAATCCTTCCTAGTTAAATGTCCTTCCTGGACCATTGTGGGAAAGCTCTGGAGTTCTAATTACCTACAGAAGTCCCGAAAGGTTACTGCTGAACACGGTAATTAGATGGTTGTAATAGAAGGTGTTAGCAGGGGACAAAGGATTTGTACTAAGTAGCATGGCATTTTCATGGCTATTTACTGTGCAAAATAGCAGAACTTAATGAAATTTGGTGAAGCTTTCGAATGACAGTTGGGAACAAAATAAATTAACAGCGTGTTAAGAAATGATAACAGTTGTTAAGAAAAGGCAGAGAAAACTATAGCTTTGTTTCTTACTGGGATTCCTTCGCATATCTTTATCAGATATTTGCACCTTCACTAAAATCTACCATATTCCATGGTATTCCATCTCTACCACAGTGATGCCCAGCTATACACATAAATGCATATTTCAATGTATATTCATCTGAACAGGTTTGTGGAGGATCAGAGTCAAATTATAAGTACATAAAACAAAACCAGAACAGCTTTACTGGAGCCACTGACACTCTATTCTTTATGGCGCCAATTTCTATGCGTAATCCATGTTATGAAAACACAGATCAGGCATGGAAGCTAGAAGGAAATATATTGTTTTCCTTCCCCAACATCTCACATTGGGCTTATTTCTCCAACCTGACCTCATCACTAACGTAGTAGCTAGAAAACCTCTCACACTGCATTTATTAGTGTGTTTCCCTGATTCATCCCTTGAAACAGTAAAAAAAAATATCAGAGATTCACAAATATGCTTTATGGTAAAGTATGTAAAAGTGCTTTCATTACTAAAATCAGCAACCACACATAAAAGATTGATTTCAAAACCTTGAAGCACTTCCCCAATCTGATATTTTCTGCATGTGATTGACTACATCTGGAAGGCATCTGGTTGGGAAACACTGGTTTTGAGTCATGCTATTAACTAATATTTGACAAACATAAATTCCAGGATGCTGGTGGAAAGCACTCATCATCCAGTGTCAGAAATGCTTGAGGTGTTCACTTAATCAACACTTCTGTGGGCCAGAATTTAGTTATCCACTAGTTTTTGAATTTCTTATGTTTTCAAGAAATTCTTGTCTGGCTCAAAAATGTGTATATTTTTGAGAAATATCTATTTTTAAATGTGCATTTTCATCATCTTTTTAAACATCATAAATTCATGAGGAAAGAGAATAAAACAGACTTACAGATGACGAAATGTAAAGATGTACTAGAAATGAAGTGATATGTCTATAATTTTTTAAAACTACAGATTCAAGAAGGGGATTCTTTTCCCATGGGGAATAATGGGATCTCTCTTTCCCACTGTCTTCATCTACAGTATTGTTCTCCCTGCTATCCAGTCTCTTTTTTGACAGAGAGAACAGGAGTGTTGCTGGGGCTGTGTGTGTGTATATGTCTTCAAGTTGGTCTTGAAGTCAAGTCCCAGCAGTTTTCTTGGCAGCGTTTTTTGAAAGTGGTCTGCCCTTGCCTTCTTTCTAGGGCTGAGAGAGTGACTGGCTGAAAGTCACCCAGCTGGTTTCATGCCTAAGGCAGGACTAGAACTCATACACCAACTGGCTCTTGTTTCTCAGACTAGGACTACTATTTTCTCTTTTTATCCAGCTCAGATGGTAGCTCATATTGATCTTTGTTAATTCAAAACAGCTAAGCATGGTCAGACCTGGTCCTTGGAGGGGAAACCTTTTGGAAATGCCAGAGCTATAGGTGAGATTAGGAAATGGAAAAAATGCCCTTGGGAAAGGCATGGGCCAACCACTTCCACATTGTTGCCAAGAAAACTACACAGACATGCCCATGAAGTCATCAGGAGCTCAGCTTAGCTTGGAGAGTACCATACTTATCTTTCCAGATAAATTTAGAAAGAACAACACAAATCTGTAATTACATTTATTCACAGAATGTAAGTTTTCCCCCCATCTCTGCTTTTCACAATAAATGTTAAAAGAAATCCTACAAGACAGAATTTAAAGTTGGTGTTATTCATAGCGAACATTTTCATGTGAACGTTTTACATGGATTAGAAACGGAATCTCACCTAATCTGGAAATGGCTATAAACCTTCAAGTTAATAAAGACAATTTGTATGCATTTGGCAGAAACACAAAATATATTTTCTTCTCCTTTTTTTTAAAACCTGGAAATGATTCAGCCAGCTTCACTGAATTTACTACATGTATGAGAGAACTGCTGTTCATTCCCCCCCCCCTCTCTTTTTCTCTCTGTTAGTAAACAATGTAGCATGACTGTTTGAATATTCTTTCAGTTGATCAGATAATGCTATTGTTGAACACGGGGGTATGGTAGTGGGGAAACTACTGGGAAGATATGACTGGCAAAGATTCTGACATTGCCCTACCTACAGTAATAACATCTGACGATCTTTTGAACTGAAGACAGCTTTTGAAAGTATCATCAAAAGTCTGGATTTCCACAGTTTTCTTATGAAATGATGACTTTTCCAAAAAGGTCAGTTGAGCAGACACACAGCCACATTTTCAAACCTTTCTTGATCTAACTTTAAAAGAATTAAACCAATTTAAGATTCTTAGCCAGTTGCTTATAAATTTCAAGACACTCCCCAGCCTTGAGGGTTTATTCAGTAGTCCAGCTTTCTCTATGAGATGAATACACCTATACTCAGAAACGAGTTACTGAAACTTGAGCCTCTGACAATCAGTGTTTTGTCAGGGTCAGAGATTCTACATAATATATTCAATGTTTTGTTTCAATACTTTCTTTCTGCTTTATGTTTGTTTAAATTCTAAAGTAATTTGTAAGTATGAAAGCATTCCAAGAATGAAAATAGTACATCTGTCTAGTGGCAATCACACTCAATTTAATGTCTCTCATATTTAAAAATGGTTGTCTCCCTGCAGCTTAACACAAGAAATGTATGACCCCTGACTTGGCTTTTCGTGTAACAACAAAGAATACCACTGCTTTTGCTGGCCGTATACTTCTCTGACCAAATGGGAAAGGTGAATGTGATCACTAGGAAATGTCAGAACAGCTTTATATATTCTACATAAAATACACTACTCTAAGTGTATTTTAATGAGAAAACAATAAGCAAGTATTCATTCTATACAAACCTGAAAGAGTAGTAGAGAGAATAGGATCATGGTCTTCTGGCCATGAATTTCTTCATGTACAGCTAAAATCCATATGCTTAGGTCTCATCTGTAATCTGCAGATGTATTCCAATATATGACCTACTCTATCTGGGTATGACCTCCATGTGCAGATGTGCTCTTAAAAGTACAGAGGCTCTCTACAGAGCCTCCCCCTCTGCCATGGGCATGGATCTACACAGAATGATTGCATAAGGCTAGGCTCCCTTTTGGTTTGACTACCAGGTGAGGATCTGTTGGGTCAGGCTTTTCTTGGCCAATACCTTAAGCTTGCAGGAAGCTATTCATGGATACTGCTGTTTGATTAGTAAATTGTAAGAATTGTAAGAACTAGGAAGCCATCAAGAAATTTTTCAGCAAATGCCAAATATAAAATGCAAGCCCTATTTATAGTAGAAGCAAGATCTCCCTGGTCCTAGTTTAGCACCTTAGCCACCACATCATGATGGCTCTCTCAATGAAGATGAGACACAACAGGTACAGCAGAGCTATAAACCCTGTATAGGAGTAAAAGACAGGAAACATCTGTAAGAACCAGAGGAAATTAGCTAGTAGAAACATAGCTAAAGATGTGGACCCTTCACAGCATACACTGGAATAATTGACAGTTTGATCTGAAACAGCTAATATCCCTTTACAAACATTGCCTTTCCAGGTGCTGCATTTTTCTAGTACATTCAGTATAAATGTTTGTTGACAAATGATTTATGAGAACAATAGCTCATCAGCACTGGCCAAATTTCCAAAGGACAGCTGGGTCTTTGTATATTGACTTGCTGAAAAATGTGAAATGCCAACAAATTCTCTTTGTATTATTTAAATATGCCTAAAGCTTTCACATAGTGCTTAAAGACAGGATATAACTGCCTATGAGTTTTATTCAGCAACACATTTATTCCTTGGGGAAATTTCTTTTCATAGTATAGACCTGAAGTGCTAATTGAGTTTTATCCCCTAATAATGGGTAAAGCTAATAAGTTTGGAATGACTGTTGATTCCAAAGAGCTGCAAATTGGACATGATGATATTTTTCAAACTGCCACTCCTATACCTACATTTTTAGAAAAATCAATACTGAAACATCTATCCTTTCAACTAAATTAATGGGGTTGTCAATAAGTCAATCATAACTGTCAAAATACAGTGAGATCTGGCATATAATCAAGACATGTTCTAAGACCGTAAAGAAGACAGCACTAGGACAATTCTATTTCACTGCACTAGCTGCCAATATGGGCTAGGGTTAGGGAAATTGGACTACTGAATGCTCTCTATACGGGGCTGCCCTGAAAACCATCTGGAAGCTTCAACTGGTCCAGAGTACAGCAGCACAGGTAGCATCTCTGGGTGCATCTTGTTATGCCCACGTAACACCACTACTCTGAGAGCTGCACTGGCTCCTGAAAGGCTTCTGGGTGCAATTCAAGGTGCTGGTGATTACCTTTAAAGCCCTACATGGCACAGGATCAGTTTACTTGAGGGAATACTTTCTTCCAAGAACATCTGCTCACCCCACACACTCTCATAGGGAGGGTATGCTCCAGGTTCCTTCTTTTAAGCCTTGTCATGTTATGGGACCTAGGAAGCATGCCTTTTCCATGGTTGTCCCTGCTTTCTGGAACGATCCCCCCCCCGATATATGACAGACCTGGCTTTCCCCCCAGGCATTAGGGGTCGGTGGAGCGGGAGTCCCCCTTTGAGGTTTGTTTTCTTCTGTGCTTGGTTCCCATTTTACATTTTAGCTTTTGTATTTATATATTGGTTGTTTGTTGTTTTTAAAATTATTATGGTTGGTGGCAGAGTCAGCTAGTTGTTTAGACTGGATCTGGCAATTTTATCCACCTATCCCAAGGACCTGGGATAGGCAGAGGTTGTTGTTTGATGGTGTTAAAGGTATCATCACAGGATATAAACTATTATTATTATTATTATTATTATTATTATTATTACTATTACTATTACTATTACTATTATTATGTGCTTATGTTATAAGCCACCCAGAGTCACACTGTCTGAGTTGGGCGGCCTTATGAAACTTTAAATAAATAAATAAATGGGAGGACACGGAGTCATTAAAATACTGGAAGAGTCTGGTCACTTTACACATCTCCGTATAAGAGATTGGCAGCAAAACTGCATATTCAATGTGATAAGGTTTCACAATTTCTGCAAAACTCCAAGGAAAGCGCAGTATATTAACAATTTTACATGCCATTGCTATGCGGTACTTAGAATCTTCAGCTTAAGTCCCCAATTTTCCTACAAGTAAAGACTAATTTGAGAGCCAGGTTGGTGTAGTGGTTAAAGCACCAGGCTAGAAACTGGGAGAGTGTGAGTTTGAGTCCTGCCTTAGGCACAAAACCAGCTGAATGACCTTAAGCCAGTCACTCTCTCTCAGCCCTAGGAAGCAGGCAATGGCAAACCACTTCTAAAAAATGTTGCCAAGAAAACTACAGGGACTAGTCTAGGCAGTCTCCAGGAGTTAAAAACTGACTCGAAGGCATCAAAACAAACAAACAAACAAACAAACAAGTATAATCTATTGGAAGGATTTCATTTACATAAAGACATATCTACTCAATTCTCTTTTCAGGGCACCCAATAGTTAGTGAGAAATACTACGCCAAAAGCCTGAGATAAGAAACAGGAAACATGGTTAAAAGGTGTTTATAACACCGACATTCCCTATATCCCTCTATACCTCTCACTGTTTCCACCACATCCATATCCACTTCATATACTGCTTGTTAAATTGATTTTTATTCAGTATAAATAAAAAACAGGTTTATCATATTTGTTTCATCACTCAATAACCATAATTTGAATAAACCAGGATCTTATTTTAATGTTATCATACCTGTCCTCAGGGAACTGAAGCTAGTGCACAAAATACTACTATCTTCACTTTCTAATACTTTACTTCTTGGATCTTCCAGTTGACCTGACCAAAATGTTAGGCTTAAAGGTCTAATTCCAAACTTGCTTTGTATTTATCTAGGGTTCTAAATAATGAAACACAGAGAATAGTGTTTAAAATTACTAACAACTTCTCATGTTCAATGGATAAATTAAATGGATTTATAATTTAGAATTCTGCATTAATTACTGAGATAGGTTCTTTTAATAGGATCCCACTTCACAAGCGCTTTCCCTAGGTACAGAGAAAATCTCTCCACTCTACAGGGGAGGGGGGGAAGGGTCAGGCAAAGGAGAGGTTGCCTACAGAAATTGCTTGATTTTTTTCCCCCATCCCCCTTTCAGAGCAGAGAGATTGGAGAGAAAGAGATTTCAAGAGAGTAAGCTGCTTGCTCTTCTACACATTGAGAGCAATGCAATCGTGCCAGCAGTCCAGGGCTGGGAGCTGTGGGTGCACTACAGAAGCAGCTAACAGTACTCTCTTGAAATCTTTTCCTCTCCAATCTTTCCACTCTGCAAGGAGGACAGAGAGGAGGAAAAAAGCAAGCAATTTCTGTAGGTAATCTCTCCTTTGCCTGACCTTCTCTCCCCGCACCACAGAGTGGAAAGATTGGAGAGGAAGGTATTTCAAGAGAGTAAGCTGTTTGCATAGCGAGCCCATGGCTCCCAGCCCTGGGCTGCAGTGTGACCGCATTGCTTTCAATGTCTACAAGACAGTAAACAGGCACTCGACCATTCCAAAGGACAGGGGAATGGTTAGAAGGCAAAGAAAAACTGAAGGTGTGAAACTGAGTAGTCTTGTCTCTTTCCATCCAGGAAGCACAATCGCGGTCACATGTTTTCCCACTTAGCAACTGTTTTGCTTAGCGGCAGAGTTGCCAATCCCAATTAGCATTAAGTGAGAACTACCTGTAATCCATGATTATTTAATTACTCAATATATAGTGGACTCAAAATTCTGAAAATTGCATGTTTCAGTTTTAACATAATGATGTTCTTAGCTCTTATGGTTCTGGAGATCACTCTAATAATTTGTAGATGCCACCTACTTGCACCACTAAAGCCAGAGTGGTTGATGGGAGAGATTTCCAGCAGCCAGTTTCCAATGGTAACTGTTCTGATAACACCAAAAATGTACTAAATTTGGTATATGCATACTTTTTTTCAGTTATTTTTTTTTCTTTCAATAAACCTGTCGCTTCACAAGTTTAACATTAGTTTTGAATCTGTTGTACCTCATGGATCTAACAATTGTTTATCTGCCTTATTCTTTTTAAATTTAACTGTCCAAGGATGACAAATAAAACAAATGCTTTTCATGCAGCTGGTATTTAGCAAATTTATTAGATACCTTTTCAAAATGCATGCTGTTTCCCACGAGTCTAGAATAGCTCCAAGGAGTTAAATATATAATCAAAAAGGATTCTGCCCCCTCCTAAAAATGATTGTTTGCTTTAAAATTATATTTCAGTATCTCTGGCAAATTCTGTTTCCCTGCTAGCATATTACTAAGTACACCTGTGAAATATCCATCTTTTCTCAAGCTTTATATTACTAGGGGGCAGAGGATTATGAAAAACAAAATCTCTCTGTGCCAGTTCCACTATTTAACGGAGGAGCTGAGCTCTTTCTCTCTGTGATAGTCCTTTAGTCAACATTATATACACAACAGAAATCAAACAATGAACGGGTGTTTCACATTAGTTCATACGGTAGTTAAACCTGAAGCTCCCTAAATTTTGATATATCAGAATTAATTCACAATTCTGTTATATTGGAGTTTAGGGAGCTAATGAGATATGTGAAGTGGAAATGCAAATTCTCCTTGCTTTTTGAGTTTAGAAAGTTGTTGGCTGGCCATCGTTGAAAATCAGTGTTGGACTTAATAGAGAACTGATGAAGAAAAGTAACTATGGGGAACTCGTTTCAGGGTGATGAGTAACTTTTATGCATCTCTCCCCAGAAAAGTCTTCTTTGGGTACGCTGCTACATGTCCTGTAAAGGCACCAAATTCACTTAATGAAGCTTTCCCTCCCAGACTGAGCTGTTATTGGTTATCCGAGAACAATCTGATTCAATTCAAACAATAATTGAATCCAAATTGTAAAGATGAAAATAACTGGCCTGTGCATTTGGGTATTTCACTCATGGACACCTACGTAGGATTTCATGATGGACAACATTCCCCAGTCTGTAGCTGGTGCCTTTCATTTTCTCTCTGTCTTATATTTCAATCCATAATATCCCTGCCAATAAATGTATTCCAAATGTACTTTCTTCGTATTGCTGAAAAAAAATAATAATTTAAAAATCTAAATTTGTATACATTTCTCTTATGGGTGCCACATGTACCAGATAGCATTTGGGTTCCAGCAGAAAAGAGAGCAATATATATTTCAGTTGTTCATTGACTGCTTCATTTCAGAAACATCCCTTGGAAACTTAAACCTGATTAGTCTTCTTATGTGCTATTTATATTAAAATGTTTCTCACATGCATGCATAAATATTTCTCCATTAGGGGCCACAGCAGGGAAACATCTGCACAGGGTCTTCATTCTTTCCATAGGTTTTTCAATGTG